ATGGGATACTTATACAAGAAAAATGACATGGGGCATATATAAGGGATGGGGCGCTTACCAGTATAATGTTTTCTGGTCTTCCACACTAATATGTTCACTAGTCAGCCTACAGGTACGACCGGTAGACACAACATTAGTACTTTAATCAAATACATACAAACATCCTGATACCTTTTTCACAATCCCTGCCATCTTTTTGTTTTGCCCTTCCATTAGGAAGCTGTACAGAAGAGTATATCACTGGTGATAACATGTATTTTATTACAAATCTAATAACTGTGTTGTTGCACTTTCATTAGCGATATACAGCTGTTTGTACACTTTTGATCAATCTACTGATCATGTGTGACTTACTCGTTTCATCCTATCACCGACTCCCTAGCATGTTTACCAGGATTGATAATGGTAACAGCAGTGTGCGACGAAACAGCAGTTTGCGAAGAAACGTCACTACATCTTCCAATAACATCCAAAGTTATTTGTGGTTTGGGCTTGGGTTTGTTGTCTCTGTTATAATTACTGGCCATACAGAACAAAATCTTACCTACATCCTAGCAACAAGAATAATAAGAATCTTCTATATTTTACACAGGGAACAGGGTATCCCATATCAAACAGTAGTCCCAAAGGTTAGAATATCATTATCATTCGTACATACAGACAGTATTTCTTCCCATATGTTGTCTTAGATAACAAGGTAAAATATCAAAGAATACGTGTTCTGCGCCAGGTTCCTTTTTATAAGGTGATTTTATTGAGGGGAATTGTTTTGGAGCGAATTTTTGCCAAGGCTCCATGGGAAATATAGTATTTTCCCCAATTTCTTCAAAATTTCCCAAATCTGTACCAAAATCAGTTGTACAAAGTATAAACAAAATGGCCAGAACAATCTAGGTGGATATATCTTGGAACTTCGTAACACAAGGGAATTAATAGGCATGATGAATCATTCCGTGTGCAAGATAAAGCTGTAATCCACTACTCGTCCTTACAACAAATATCCAATATAATCCCTCACAAAAACAAACCACAAAGGAAAAACAACACGGAATGTGTCTACAAAGCCTATCATTAAATCACATCATACATCGGAGAGACCAGAATAACATTCAGGGTTAGCCTTTAAGGACATCACAAAGAGGCAGTAAGTCAAGCCAAAACCACTGTCGATAGCCTTGGTCTCGAAGGACACAATCAGAAATCTAAATCAGCACACTGGCCGTCACGAATCGCCCGTCAAAGGACAAACAACCAAGGGATTAACCAGGAGAAACGAAATGTTGTTGATAGCAAAAGCTGCCTCCAAAAAGGATGCTAAAGTCATTGATTGGAGAATATCAGAATGAACCTGTTCTCAACCATGACGAGAGGCTTGTCTCAATGGACCTGTTCTCAACCATGACGAGAGGCCTGTCTCAATGGACCTGATCTCAACCATGACAAGAGGCTTGTCTCAATGGACCTGTTCACAACCATGACAAGAGTCTTGTCTCAATGGACCTGTTCTCAACCATAACGAGAGGCCTGTCTCAATGGACCTGTTCTCAATCATGGCGAGAGGCTTGTCTTATGGACCTGTTCTCAACCATGACGAGAGGCCTATCTCAATGGACCTGTTCTCAACCATGATGGGAGGCCTGTCTCAATGGACCTGTTCTCAATCATGGCGAGAGGCTTGTCTTATGGACCTGTTCTCAACCATGACGGGAGGCTTGTCTCAATGGGCCTGTTCTCAACCATGACGAGAGGCTTGTCTCCATGGACCTGTTCTCAACCATGATGAGAGGCCTGTCTCAATGGACCTGTTCTCAATCATGGCGAGAGGCTTGTCTTATGGACCTGTTCTCAACCATGACGGGAGGCTTGTCTCAATGGGCCTGTTCTCAACCATGACAAGAGGCTTGTCTCAATGGCCCTGTTCTCAACCATGGCAAGAGGCTTGGCTTATGGACCTGTTCTCAACCATGACGGGAGGCTTGTCTCAATGGGCCTGTTCTCAACCATGACGAGAGGCCTATCTCAATGGACCTGTTCTCAACCATGATGGGAGGCCTGTCTCAATGGACCTGTTCTCAACCATAACGAGAGGCCTGTCTCAATGGACCTGTTCTCAATCATGGCGAGAGGCTTGTCTTATGGACCTGTTCTCAACCATGACGGGAGGCTTGTCTCAATGGGCCTGTTCTCAACCATGACAAGAGGCTTGTCTCAATGGCCCTGTTCTCAACCATGGCAAGAGGCTTGTCTTTTGGACCTGTTCTCAACCATGACGAGAGGCCTATCTCAATGGACCTGTTCTCAACCATGATGACAGGCTTGTCTCAATGGACCTGTTCTCAGCCATGACGAGAGGCCTGTCTCAATGGAACTGATCTCAACCATGACAAGAGGCTTGTCTCAATGGCCCTGTTCTCAACCATGACGAGAGGCTTATCTCAATGGACCTGTTCTCAACCATGACTAGAGGCTTGTCTCAATGGACCTGTTCCCAACCATGACGAGAGGCTCGTCTCAATGGACCTGTTCTCAACCATAACGAGAGGCCTGTCTCAATGGACCTGTTCTCAACCATAACGAGAGGCCTGTCTCAATGGACCTGTTCTCAATCATGGCGAGAGGCTTGTCTTATGGACCTGTTCTCAACCATGACGAGAGGCCTGTCTCAATGGACCTGTTCTCAACCATGGCAAGAGGCTTGTCTTATGGACCTGTTCTCAACCATGACGAGAGGCTTGTCTCAATGGACCTGTTCTCAACCATGACGAGAGGCTCGTCTCAATGGACCTGTTCTCAACCATAACGAGAGGCTTGTCTCAATGGACCTGTTCTCAACCATGACGAAAGGCTCGCCTCAATGGACCTGTTCTCAACCATGACGAGAGGCTTGTCTCAATGGACCTGTTCTCAACCATGACGAGAGGCTTGTCTCAATGGACCTGTTCTCAACCATGACGAGAGGCCTGTCTCCTATCTTTTGAAACCAAGATCAGTTGTTTCACTAAGCATAGACAGCTAAGGACCTTAACAATCTAAGTCAATACATGTTGGACCTTTTTTAATACCAAGGAACAACAATGCATGTTTTAATATCAATACAAACAACTATTCAAAACTGTACAGTAAAAGGTGCAGCAGCATTAGTTCCATCATAACGGTGTCCTTATGTAAGTCAGTAGTCTTGACAAAATTATATTGACAGACAAAAGGAACAGGCTTTTCTTGGTTAAGTAAATCAAGGGCCATATTCTCGAAAAACATACCAGGGTTTATATGATTGGTAAGATGTCTACGAAATTCCATTAAAAATGACTACAGAACTTATGGAAAAATAGTTTGGACAATCAGCTACATCTGCAGTCTCTGTAGATTGACCAACACACAATCACCCTAATCCCACCCACCCCTTACCCCTTACCCCTTATCTTTTTTACTGCAACAAGATACATATTCAAATGACAGTGATACAAAAGTTATAGCAGAGATGGCACTGCCTGCATTATCTGTGTTATATGAGCCGAGATGTCTACCAATACATTTCTGAAAGGCCATGTGCTAAACCAGATCAATTCCAGGCTTTTGTAGTACATGTTCCAAAGCATACAAAATCTGATCAATTTGTTTAAAAAACAAAAACATAATTACCTTGGTAAATTTAAGTGATAAATAGAATATGTGTTCTGAAATCTGCAAATGACAGAATGTCTGTGATTTCCCAGACACCAATCCTACGGACATACGGAACTGTCAAGTGCCCATCATTCTGTCAGCTGGTATTAGCCTACAATTCTCTTTACTTTTGTCAATGTCCACCATAATCACCCTCTATACATCCCTGATAACTTGTTAAGAAAAAGAGCCCTATTTCATCAACAAGAGACAGCTTTGCATATATCCTCTTTTTCCTTTCAAAATAATCAAAGTTAAACATGTTTCACTTCTTTCTGTTTCAAAAATATACAGCTTCACAAAGGATTCACTACTCCTGTAGTGTTGACTAATATTAACCATTGTGATGATTTTGCCCCAAATACAGATGGCAAAAGATGAATGTTGGACTTAGGCAAACATTTCCAAGCATACAACATCATTTCCTGAACTTCCCTAGCAACAAGACTAAACTAAGCAACAATGTTAAAAATTTACTTGAACACAAGTGTAACATTAGCTATAGTTCCTAGTAATAGTTATCTTTCTTGTAGTTACTTAGCAATAAGTCTAACAATCCTCATAGCATTCTAGCCCTCCAGTCTCAGAATTCCTCAAGTTAAACCGAGCAATAATTATACCATTTCTTATAGCTTCTATTATTGTAGCTACCAAGCAATATGTTTCACAATTCTTTGTAGTCCGGGCAACAAGTTTCACATTTCTCATTTAGCCCCAGAGCACAAGATTCACATTTCTTTTTTAGCCCCAGAGCACAAGTTTCACATTTCTTATTTAGCCCCAGAGCAAAAGTTTCACATTTCTTATTTAGCCCCAGAGCAAAAGTTTCACATTTCTTAGTTAACCCCAGAGCACAAGTTTCATTTTTCCTTTTTAGCTCTCAAGCAACAAGTCACACATTTCTTGTAGCTACTTCATTTAGTACCTAGCAACAAGTTTAACGTCACCCCCTCCTAGTAGTGATATTTACGTTTTCCTGTAGGGCCCTAGAAACAAGTTTAACATTACCCCCTCCTAGTAGTAATATTTACGTTTCCTGTAGGGCCCTAGAAACAAGTTTAACGATACCCCTCCTAGTAGTAATATTTACATTTCCCATAGGGCCCTAGAAACAAGTTTAACGCTACCCCCTCCTAGTAGTAATATTTACGTTTCCTGTGGCCGTGTATACGTAGGGCCCTAGGAAACAAGAAACAGGACAGTTCTACATTCCTTTCAGATGTCAAATGATTGAAAGTAAATAAAGATGTGCTTGTACTTTTTAACAAAATCACCAGCTAAAAGATAGAATGTGCTGTAGATTTGACCTGAATGAGATCATAAACAAGGCTTACCAAGAGTCTGTGGTGAGGGACATCTAGCAGACAGTACAGGGGATGTGTTTGGGCCCATCATTGACTTCCTCTGACGACTGAAACAGAACATTCAGATCTTACAGTATTCACATCCATGCCATACCAGAGTATTGAAACAGATAACATACTATATTATCGTTTAGCAAGAGCCACATGTAGATCCCTTGTACCAAGCTTTGTTAAACAATGTTGGCTTAGAGAAACTTGGAAAGAAACTAGATATGTTTGTAAGACATGAATGCCCCCGGTCTGTTTTGGTTTACATAGTTTAATAAACTGTTACAGCGATTCTGACCTTTAGTTCCTGAAAACAAACTTGTTTTAAGTATTTTCATGTTTGTATAAAGTTTTACCGAAATCTGTAACAAATGACAATGCTGAAGTGATTTCACTTAAATATTTGACAAAATAATATTATCAGTGACCTTGGCCTTCACCTTAGTATCCTGAAAAATGACCCATTTGTAATACTTGACAATTGTACAATGTTTAATCAAAATCTGATAGAAATGAAGTCACTAGAGCAATTAAATTGAGTGAGGACACGATGTGATGGGACACAATGCAGTACGGAAAGAAAAGGACAGTTGTGGGTACCAGGTAATTCTACATCTTTCCACTACCCCATAAAATGGCAGGGTTATAAAAAAAGGTCTTGAAGAATTTCATCAGCAATTATTTGTGCATGATTCATCAACTGGTCCTTCAGGAGAAGTTTAAAACCTCTCAGCCAATCAGAGGTGAAGATAGCTAATATCCTGGATTTTAAATTGGCAATAAAGGTATAACCACTTTGTCAAGACCATGAGAGGATTATCTGTACATTGTTCAGTTAAAATTGGTTCATTGGAACTTTACTGAAAAGACGATTTAAATTTCTTAACAAATCAGCAGCCATTAAGGTGACCATTTTGGATTTAGAATTGTTGAAAACACCACCACTTGGTAAATGGCAATGACAGGATTATTTGGGTGAAGTTTGGTCAAAGTTCTATTGGTGATTCTGAGGTAATTCAAAAGAAAATGGTTGGATGGACGATGGACCAGATTAGCTTGTTTCCTTCTTTAAGTATTCTAAAAATCCTTGATCAGATAGCCATTTCCTTCTACCAATGGTGATGAAGCTGAGGAAACTCCTTAAAACTAACTGTATTTTACGGCAGCTGTCTGATGGTGTCTCAGAACGTGCCCATGCATATGAGGACGGATGTTGTGAGAGGCAGTGGCCATTGATTGTGGACCTGGCCACAAATCAATGACTTGAGACCAACAACACATCAGGCCTTAGCCTCTTCAGCTTAACAACATGTCAACTCACAATTCTTAGTATTGATTTTCCTGAATTTCTTTCATAATTCACATAAAATCTCTTGTTTTTTAACTTCAGGTTATTGTTTCTTATTGCTACACATGAACTTTTGTATTTAAGGCCATGATGTTGTTTAAAAATATTAAACATGAAATCTATGAGTTCAAGTCAGAGTAAGCTACTGGGGCTTTTATTGGTAGATCCCAGACAGCTCACTTTTAGGTCGGACATCAAACATTTTCCTGACATGTAACAAGTCTTCCATATCTCTTCCAAAACAATCCCCGAGCACAACTTTACACCAGTCTGACAAGGACCATCATTAAATATTTTGAAAAATACAAGACAGAGTATGAAGCCATCCATATTACCCCACCTGCAGACAAAATTTTGGAAGAAAGATGAACAAAGGTCTATAACTCTTCATATAGAATGAGTTTACCACACTCTGTCATCCTAAGAGTATTTTTACAAATTTGACCCCTGTGGCCTTGAATAACAGTCAAGGTAATTCCTTTCTTGACAAAATTTTGCACCATAACATTTTTATTTATATAAGATATTGGCCAAACATGTAGGTCTAAGAAGTGATGAAGAAGTAATTTGAGTGATTTAACAAATCTGACCTATGTGCCCTAGAATATGGGCCAAAGTCATTTCAAAATTTGCAATTGTAGCATGTTTATAAACTCTACAGCACCACATTTCAGCAATCTAGCAAGTAACTAGCCCCATAATATGACTCATGTCTTTTTATTGTTTCACAAATACTAATCATACAAGTGTTTTTACATATAAGACCCTTGTGACCTTGAATAGAGGTAATTTTTTTCTATAAACTTTGTAGTACTCCATGACAGAAAGCTAGTGGCCATATAAATATCATACCTAGGGCTTTTAGTTCTTCAGAAGAAGCTGTTGGGTGTTTTAAAAGATTTGATAATGTAACCTTGTATATTGGTCAAAGACCTTTCTTTTCCCAAAATCTGTAGTTCTAAAGTGAGCAGGCTACTGGCCATATACCATGGCTCAAGGTGGTTTCCTAAACTCTGTAGCACTCTATTACAGCACACTACCAGCTAAATAGTAGGAGGCCACCAGGTCCTTTGGTTTTTCAGAAGAAACTGTTTTGGGTGTTTTAACAAATGATTATGTGTCAAGGCAATTTCTTTCAGCAAAATTTGTACAATCAGGCTACTTGCTATATATCATGACTCTGGGCTGTTGGGTTGTTTATGCCATCAATTACAGGCCAGATATAATGATTCTATTCCTTTTTGTTCTTCAGGTGAACTAAAACGTGGTCCTCAAACCAGAAATACATTATTCGCATATGCATGATGAAAGCCTACAAGCAGATGATGGAAATAAGATGCTACAGACATGCAGCAGGATAGATATTTTTGATTGCATCAGTATAATTAGATGTACATCCTTGACAACAAGTTATTTGATGCTGTGTATATAAATCAATAACACATAAAGCTAGACAGAATCAATTTCGTAATTAATGTTTGCTTACCTTCCCCTCCTGCCGTATGTGAAGTCTTTCTGTAAACACAAGTAAACAAATCCATCATCTACTACTTTCGTTTTAATCACATTTATTTGGTCAACATAAAAGGGAAATGTTATATTTAATTCAATTTACAAACAGTCATTTCCATTTCAAACTTGCAGTGTGTATATATATATATATATGGAAATGCGACACTTTTTTTTTTAAAGAAAAGGAAAATTACTATTATAAAGGAAAAACTTACTGGTTTCAGTAAATAGAAACAGGTGTTGTAAATTTCTCTGATTTAATCAAAATTTCACATAAGTTTTATCAAAACTGTACACTGAAGGTAATATACACATATCACTGCCACAAGTCATACAGAGTTATTCCCCTTCATAAATTGGATTTTTAATCAAGAGTTGTTTCCCTTGAACTATATTATTTGTTCCAACAGCAGAATGTTGTTACTTGTAGTAAAGGTGTGGTCAATTATCAAAGAAGTCCTTCCCCCTAACATTACTTAGCAATCAAATAACAAAATGATGCAATTTTTCTTGGATATACTTTGACTTCAGGTTAACAACCTGTTACAACCTTACCCCTACTGGCACCAGAAAGTGATTGATATAAAAGAGCTATTTCAAAACTCTAGTTATAGAATGGGGGTTCCCAAATATTGAGAGTCAAACGCATTTGGTGAATGGTAAATATACATCAGTGTTCTGACTGAGGATGATAACTTACCATGCTGGTTGCTGGTGAGGGGGGAAAGGGTGCTGACTGAGGATGATTACTTATCATAGTGGTGAGGGGGGAAGGGGAAAGGGTGCTGACTGAGGAAGATTACTTATCATACTGGTGAGGGGGGAAGGGGGAAGGGTGCTGACTGAGGAGGATTACTTATCATACTGGTGAGGGGGAAGGGTGCCAACTGAGGAAGATTACTTATCATACTGGTGAGAGGGAAGGGGAAAGGGTGCCGACTGAGGAGGATTACTTATCATACTGGTGACGGGGAAAGGGAAAAGGGTGCTGACTGAGGAGGATTACTTATCATACTGGAGAGGGGGGAAGGGTGCTGACTGAGGAGGATTACTTAGCATACTGGTGAGGGGGGAAGGGTGCTGACTGAGGAGGATTTCTTATCATACTGGTGAGGGGGAAGGGTGCCAACTGAGGAAGATTACTTATCATACTGGTGAGGGGAAAGGGTGCCAACTGAGGAAGATTACTTATCATACTGGTGATGGGGGAAGGGGAAAGGGTGCCGATTGAGGAGGATTACTTATCATACTGGTGAGGGGAGATGGGTGCTGACTGAGGAGGATTACTTATCATACTGGTGAGGGGGAATGGTGCCAACTGAGGAAGATTACTTATCATACTGGTGAGGGGAAAGGGTGCCAACTGAGGAGGATTACTTATCATACTTGTGAGGGGGGAAGGAGAAAGGGTGCAGACTGAGGAGAATTACTTATCATACTGGTGAGGGGGGAAGGGAAAAGGGTGCTGATTGAGGAGGATTACTTATCATACTGGTGAGGGGGAAAGGGGGAAGGGTGTTGACTGAGGAGGATTACTTATCATGCTGGTGAGGGGGGAAGGGGAAAGGGTGCCGACTGAGGAGGATTACTTATCATACTGTTGAGGGGGGAAGGGTGTTGACTGAGGAGGATTACTTATCATGCTGGTGAGGGGAGAAGGGTGCTGACTGACGAGGATTACTTATCATGCTGGGGAGGGGGGAAGGGTGCGGTCTGGGTATGATTACTTATCATACTGGTGGGGGGGGAGGGGGAAAGGGTGCCGACTGAGGAGGATTGCTTATCATACTGTTGAGGGGGGAAGGGGGTTGACTGAGGAGGATTACTTAGCATGCTGGTGAGGGGGGAAGGGTGCTGACTGGGGAGGATTACTTATCATGCTGGTTAGGGGGGAAGGGGAAAGGGTGCTGACTGAGGAGGATTTCTTATCATACTGGTGAGGGGGGAAGGGGAAAGGGTGCTGACTAAGGAGGATTACTTATCATGCTGGGGAGGGGGGAAGGGGAAAGGGTGTTGACTGAGGAGGACTTCTTATCATGCTGGTGAGGGGGGGAGGGGAAAGGGTGCCGACTGAGGAGGATTGCTTATCATACTGTTGAGGGGGGAAGGGGGTTGACTGAGGAGGATTACTTATCCTGCTGGTGAGGGGGGAAGGGTGCCTACTGGGTATGATTACTTATCATACTGGTGAGGGGAGAAGGGGAAAGGGTGCTGACTGAGAAGGATTACTTACCATGCCGGTGAGGGAAGGTGCTGACTGACCAAGGACAATATTTCTCATCCTGATCAGATTTGTTGGTTCTATCAGTGCTGCCACACCTAAAATCAAATTCACATGTCAGCTCACCAGATTTATACACTAATTACAGGACAGGACATATCGTAGGTTAACATTATTGAGGTTAGGTTTAAACATGTGAGTATCGTGCTGTTGAGACATAATGTGAAACTTGAAACTTGAAGAAAAAGAAAAAAAATATGCCTCATTGATTATCCGTAAACATGCACAAATCGCATCGGTTGGCAAACTTAGCATGAGTCGGATGTGGATACGAAATTTGGTTGAAACATCTGAACAATATCTACAGCAACTATGTTACACAAAAACCAAAGAGTGCCCGAGACGGGTGGAAAGACAAAGGAACACAAACATTGTGATCAAGTTTGAAGAAATTTGGATAATATTTGCGAGAGTAAATGAACAGAAACGGCAGATAATGACGTTTTTCGTTATTCATGGGGCCATAACTCCACCAAATCACAGCCGCTGAAAGTGGTCATCGAGCTCGGCTAAGTCCTTAAGGCATTTATCACTGTGACCAAGTTTGACGAAACTCGGTTATTATTTGTTGTAGTTATTGCACAGAAACGAAACGCAGCAGATAATGATGTTTTTCGTTATTCAAGGGGCCATAACTCCGCCAAGTTGGGTCCGCTGACAGTGGTCATTGAACTTGGCCAAGTGCTTAAGGCAATCCTGTGACCAAGTTTGAAGATAATTGGTTAGTTTGAAGAAAATTGGTTAACATTTGTTGTAGTTATTGCACAGAAACGAAGCCCGGCAGATAATGATGTTTTTCATTATTCAAGGGGCCGTAACTCCACTAAATGGGGTCCGCCGAAAGTGGTCATCGAACTTGGCCGAGCCCTTAAGGCATTTAACCCTGTGACCAAGTTTGAAGAAAATCAGTTAACATTTGTTGTAGTTAGTTGTTAATGTCGTAGCGGGGGATAACAAACGTATATGCTTATATCATAGAAATACAAATCCTGAATGCATAAGGTTACATTTTTTTTTGAAATTCCAAACCTGAATGACAGATGATGTAATAATAACCCTGTTTCTTTGTATTGAATCAAAAGCAATGCACTGACGATGACTGCACTAAAGATTAAATACAAAGATCACATTGATGCTGGGTACATTTGAATCAATGTAAAGTAACTGTCTTTGTCCTTTGACATTCTATCCTGAAATAATCTGTCCTGCAGACAGCTGATCATAAAACTGAACAAGACTTGCAATAATTATGTGCACTATATTGTACTTGCTGAAAATATAGCAAAAATATGAAGTGGATTTTCTTTCAAATGGGACTGCCTTAGGTTTTTATTTGAACATTTGCATTGGGCATGTGTGTAGTGTGAGCTATGAGGTTGTTAATACGAGTCAAACATCTGTTAGATTCTGATTCATGTTCTGGAATTACTCTAGTTTATTGAGCCCAAGTCTCAAGATTACCAAAATGCAATAAAATCTAACATTTGTTCCAAAATCACAAACAAGCAAATTGGAAGTTAGTAATTGCTTAGAACATGCAGAAAACAATGGAGGCAATATTGCTGTAATACTCGCAAAAACCTTCAGAAACAAGCCATATCAAAGACAGGTTGGGTTTTAAAGGGAAAGTTTTCCTCAAGGTATTGTATGGACACTAAAATTAGATGGACAAACACTGAAATGCATGAAATATGTCTGATTCAGAAGGGAGACAAACTTTCACGTCAAAGAGGTAAAGAAGTTGTACTCACTGTGGCCTAGATGGCCCGAAGCAGAAAGGTTGGTGGGTAAGCCTGTGGGAGTACTGGGAAGGCTTTCACGTCGTCTATGGCCTCTGTAGTCCTCTGATAAGGTACGCTGGAGACGTCGTATCCCACCGGGCATGTGTAGACCCAGGGGGAATTCATCCTGGGTGGATCGCCGTATCCGTGGTGACACGGGGCCTGGGGATCCGGTCATACCACTATCAGACTGTAACAGAGTACAATTAAAGATTATTAATTTTGTATTTCAAACCTTAAAATAGATTTTCTTCATCATGCAAAGATGAAAATTGGCTTATGGACAAAAAGACTGAAATTCAATTTTTTAATCCTTTCCTTGAAGAAAAAGAAATTAAAAGGTTGCATTACACAAAAATTCTGAAAAAGGCTGAAAATGATCATCACTACAACTGCTCATCATAAGAACTGTACAGATTCAATGACCCGAAGTATGAAGATCTATGACAATAATCTGAAAAACTGTCATGGACTATCCTGATTATACATTTCACTCTGCATTTCACTGGCATATATCAATATGTCTGTTAATTCAAAAACACAAAAAAAAACATTGATATCAGAATTATTTAGTGGTTCATTATATTGTTTTAAAATATCTCACTTGTTGGAGATGTGGTCCAGCAAAAACTACTGTATACATATGTGAGCTGCTTCTTCTTTCATTATATATAATTGATATTAGACCTGTATCTCTGATCTTGCAACTCATCACAGTATTTGGTTTTAAGTACAATCTCATTGAGGGAATTAAATTTCATGTTATGTATGATCTTTTTTGGAACAACTGGACATGAACATGTGTGTAGACGACAGGGGACCAATTTTACCACCCCACCTACGATACCCAACATGTTTTGTACATATCTACACATGGTAACATGGAGGAGATCTTAACACCAGCCCTGGCACACAGCCCCCCTATTACTCATGCCATCAGAATGTGCCTCTCAAGGTGAACGATCCTCGGCAGGTTTTCTAGGGTAAACATGGCCAGTATCTCCAGCCCACCTCTCCCTTGATGGAGTCTGATGCTGCTAATGTTAGACCTATCACAACCAGCTCCAGTGCCCTGGTGTGTCATTGTCCACTGGGTTTATATAGTTGTTCCCATGCATAAATAAATCACCAAAACTACATAAACCAAAGACTGATTGGAACCTGTTCAGAGGTGCCTATAGTTGAACACTTAGTTTATACTGGTTGCCCTATTATGCGGGTTTATGAGTTGACAATTTGTTTTAATGTTTTTCAATGAAACAATTTCATTACATACTTATTATATTGCAAAACAAATCATAAATGAACCGAATCATTTCTGGCCAAATAAGTTATCCTATATAGCTGCCTACTCTAATTGTTTACGTTCTATTGTTCACTTCACAGTCAAGTCAGGATATAAGCTCGCCCTATAGACACAATATAGATACTCTTAGCTTACCTATTTATCCTATTTTTTCTAAAAGTTACCTTAAACAGTTATATCAGTTTGTTTGGCCTTATAATCCAACCATGTTTAGTTGGTAAACAACCTCTATTTTTAAAGCTCCTCAAGTCAGAGATCTTTTCTCTGATAAACCACAACCCATAAACAATGTTTAAACAAAAACTGAAAAACCACATGTAGTATTCCATCAGACTGCTTTCAAGTCTCTAAGATTATGGAGTTGAGAAAGTCTTGTAAGTTTTAATCATGTCAAGGGTAGATAGACTTGCTGAAGTCAATATAAATAAGTGATATTATGATCACCGAGATGGTTCAACAGTCTATTATATTACATTGCAAATGTCAGAAACTAATCATTTTATTTTTGCTTTAAACTTCACCATTGCATCTGTTATTGAAGACAGGATATCAATGAGTTTGAAGATTCAAATGGGATTTATATTGTTTAAGTTTGTTTGGTTTGTTTGTGTTTTACATCCTATTAACAGCTATGGTAATTTAAGGATGTGCCAGGTTTTGGTGGTGGAGGAGAACCGGAGTTCTGGAAGAAAAACCAACGACCTGCGGTCAGTCCCTGGCGACAGCCCCATGTAGGCCTTGAACCGGCGACCGAGTGGTGGAGGGCTAGTGGTAGCAGAACTAATGATGTCAGACACCTTAACCACTTGGCAACCCCAGCCCCTTTTTGAAGTATTTCAATATGGACTAGATATAAGATATTGATTTTTTAATCAATTTTAATAATTGAAATTGAAAGAATTAATCAGTGAAGTCGCAATTCCAAAACATTACTTTCACAATCGAATGCAATTATCTCCTCTTGAAACCACAACAGATGAAAACAACCATCCTGTAAATCTTTTCATGGAAAGAAGCATGTGTTGTCCTTCATGACCTTCAAAGAAAGACAACCATCAAAGTAAACCATTTCAAGTTATCTCCCCTTGTTATCTCCACTACTGAATGAGAGACTTTGCTCCGTTTGAGTCCTATCTTTCCCCATTATCTCCACAGTCTGTAATCCTAGTCTATAATCTATAATCCTCATTAACGGGCATGGCCGGGTTGCATAACTTGGCTACAGTAGGAACACTTAATAGTGGGTTAAGGTGCATGCACCTAGATACCTATCTAGAAAGCCATAGGAAAGCATGAAAGTTCTGTGTATCATCCCCACAGCCTGCCCTGGCACAATACAGTCAAGGGTATCCTGCATGTATGTGTATATACACATATCAGTACATTTCATTACAAAATTCACTTTTACAAACAGAAATTCTTTAAATTGGGCATGTTGATGGATACTAAAATATTTTCAGAATGTCACTTTACTAACTTTTACTAGATATGTCACTTTACTAAAGTTTACTGTCACAGACACAATTAATCAAAGTACCATTTAATTCTTATAATTTAGATCAATCAATGAAAACATCAAAACAATCACAAGAACTGTTAGAGCATAGCTTGCCATAGTCAAAGAACTTTAAAACAATCATGAGAACTGTTAGAGAATAGCTTGCCATAGTCAAAGAACATCAAAGCAATCACAAGAACTGTTAGAGCAGAGCTTGCCATAGTCAAAGAACACTAAAACAATCACAAGAACTGTTAGAGTATAGCTTGCCATAGTCAAAGAACACTAAAACAATCACAAGAACTGTTAGAGCATAGCTTGCCATAGTCAAAGAACATTAAAACAATTACAAGAACTGTTAGAGTATAGCTTGCAATAGTCAAAGAACATCAAAACAATCACAAGAACTGTTAGAGCATAGCATAGCTGCCATAGTCAAAGAACATCAAGACAATCACAAGAACTGTTAGACCATAGCTTGCCATAGTCAAAGAACATTAAAATAATCACAAGAACTGTTAGACCATAGCTTGCCATAGTCAAAGAACATCAAAACATTCACAAGAACTGTTAGAGAATAGCTTGCCATAGTCAGAGAACATTAAAACAATCACAAAAACTGCAAAAGCAAACCCTGCCAGAGTCAAAGAACATCAAAACATTCACAAGAACTGTTAGAGAATAGCTTGCCATAGTCAAAGAACATTAAAACAATTACAAGAACTGTTAGAGCATAGCCTGCCATAGTCAAAGAACATAAAAACAATCACAAGACCTGTTAGAGCATAGCTTACCATAGTCAAAGAACATAAAAACAATCACAAGAACTGCTAGAGCATAGCTTGCCCTAGTCAAAGAACATTAAAATAATCACAAGAACTGTTAGGGCATAGCTTGCCATAGTCAAAGAACATCAAGACAATCACAAGAACTGTAAGAGCATAGCTTGCCAGCCAAAGAACATCAAAACAATAACAAGAACTGTTAGAGTATAGCTTGCAATAGTCAAAGAACATCAAGACAATCACAAGAACTGTAAGAGCATACCTTGCCAGTCAAAGAACATTAAAATAATCACAAGAACTGTTAGAGAATAGCTTGCCATAGTCAAAGAACATTAAAACAATCACAAGAACTGTAAGAGCATAGCTTGCCAGTCAAAGAACATCAAAACAATCACAAGAACTGTTAGAGCATAGCTTGTCATAGTCAAAGAACATCAAAGCAATCACAAGAACTGTTAGAGCATAGCTTGCCAAAGTCAAAGAACATTAAAACAATCACAAGCACTGTTAGAGCATAGCTTGCCATAGTCAAAGAACATCAAAGCAATCGCAAGAACTGTTAGAGAATAGCTTGCCATAGTCAAAGAACATTAAAACAATCATGAGAACTGTTAGAGCAAAGCTTGCCATAGTCAAAGAACATTAAAACAATCACAAGAACTGTTAGAGCATAGCTTGCCATAGTCAAAGAACATTAAAACAATCACGAGAACTGTTAGAACATAGCTTGCCATAGTCAAAGAACATAAAAACAATCACAAGAACTGTCAGAGCATAGCTTGCCATAGTCAAAGAACATCAAAACAATCACAAGAACTGTTAGAGTATAGCTTGCCATAGTCAAAGAACATCAAACCAATCACAAGAACTGTTAGAGCATAGGTTGCCATAGTCAAAGAATATAAAAACAATCACAAGAACTGTTAGAGCATAGGTTGCCATAGTCAAAGAATATAAAAACAATCACAAGAACTGTTAGAGCATAGCTCGCCATAGTCAAAGAACATCAAAACAATCACAAGAACTGTTAGAGCATAGCATAGCTGCCATAGTCAAAGAACATTAAAACAATCACAAGAACTGTTAGAGCATCGCTTGCCATAGTCAAAGAACATAAAAACAATCAAAAGAACTGTTAGAGCATAGATTGCCATAGTCAAAGAACATCAAAACAATCACAAGAACTGTTAGAGCATAGCTTGCCACAGTCAAAGAACATTAAAACAACCAAAATGGGTAAACAAAAACACATTCAATGAAATACATTGTTTTACCTAAATTGCCAAATATCAGTTACTTCCCAGTACATAGTTATATTGAAGGTGATAGAGTTTGAAGGAATGTCAACATTTATGCCAAAACTTAAACCTTGCAATGCCAACACATCGGGATTCGGGCTTCTACTCCTTAAATGGGCATACCAATAATCAAATGTTGATTATCACTTTTCCATGTCTGTGAATGGTTAAACAAAAATAGAAGTCGTGCATGCCACAGTGTGATAAGCCAATTAATATCACCAGCCTCAGAGTTAATTAATATGCAAGAAATACATTAAATACACAAGTCAAGATCTTCGAATAGATGCAGTTTATACTTAT